CAAATGTGACAACTGATGCCGAAGGTGGTAGATTGATGCAGCCTGTGCACCCAATAAAGACAAAGGGAGCCAATCCAGGGCTTGGGGCTCCAACTCAGATGTTCTAGAGGCCAGAGGTCACTGCTTTTCCTGAGCTGTCTCCTCTCTTTGCACTTGCTATTTGTCTCAATAAAGTTGATTCCAGACGACTTGGTCTGTTTTCTGGGGCAGCTTGCCATTCCCAAGTCTAGTTTCTGGACCTATCAGAATTGCCCAGTGGCATGCAGCTCTCGCCAAGAGCCAATCGTTGTAATTTGGTCTGTTCTGTAGCTGTTGAACAATGGCTGAATGCCTAGCTGCCTCGTTACTGGAAGTACCTGGGGGAGAGCCCAGTGGAGAAGAAATATTGATGGGGGCCAAACATTTCTTATACACTAGAGCCCTGCAGTTTTGTTATCGACCGCCAAGGTTGAGGAACTCAAAACCAGGTTAGGTTGTCAGGTTCATTACCACATGACCTAAGGGAGCTCCAGAAGGGATGAGCATCAGAGTGACGGGGAAGAATCTGACCTGGAACTGCCCTCACATGGGCATCTCCAGCCAGGAAAGAGCCCCTTCCCGCCAGCAGCAGCCTCTGCCGATGGTAGGGTTGTCAGATGCTTTGCTGTTTCTGGGCTTGCATATTTATCTTTCTTTCATAGTGAATTTATCATTGACTTTTTGTACTTTTCACAAAAACAGGACATCAAATGCTTACTTTCTGAGTTTTTCCACAGTTGGCACTTGGGTGAGGAGGCAGAATTTTTACCCCTATCTTGATTTTGTGCATGTGTGCATATTATATGACTATTTGTACATTTATTGCTTCTCGATGTCTTTTTTTTGGGGGGGGGGAGAGGTTTTTGCTATAGGGTGTGTGCCCTCGCCAGAAAGATGGAGAGAGACAGAGAGACAGAAAGTGAGAAATCCCCCCCCCACCCCCAGGAGGGATGGCCACACTGCAATCCCTTCTCCTCCATTCTCCTCTTGGGATCTTGGGCATGTATGCACACGTGCCCAGTGTGAGTTTAAGCCACCGGGTCTGGGACTCAAACTGCAGTCGACTACATGGGAGTCCAGGGACATAACCATTACGCCAACTGCTGGTCCTGCTTCTCTAGTATCTTGATAGAATGGATCCAGGTGCAGAATCTGGGCTCTAGGAGAGCCTCCTGGAGGCCACTTGCTCAGCCTCTGCCTGTAAGAGGTCTATATCTGAATGGAGCCGAAGGGTTCCTGAATGTTCTTGGCCACTAGCCCCAGACTGTATTTGCAGGAAGGTTTGCATCTGAATGGAGCCAAAGGGTTCCTGCATATCCTTCAGAGGAGGAAGTCACACTGGATGGGTGGAATTCCAAATTCTAGATGGTTCACCTTCACTTGAAGCAACTGTTTTACATATGGGGACTCAGTATATTGAGTAATATTTCATTAAATAGAAATGCTTTGCTCTTAAGAGCAAAGGGTTGAAATCACTGGTCTATGTCCTTCACTAAGAAGGACTTAGATTCTTTTCTAGAAGAATTCTGAAAACGAAAATTTAAGCCCATTCTTTTCTAAATTGCCTGGGTAGTGATAATTTGTGATAGAGGCAGGTTGAGGTGGCTGTGAAGACACTGTAGGATTTATTCCTTGAGACTCAGTAAGCATTCCTAGAACATTCATTTGGTCAAGGCTGTTGCATTATACCTTCTCCTGGAGCGGAAATGTGATGGCCTTTTTCGATTTTGTGCATAATACAACGTCGAATGCCACTGGCCTTGGGGTATAAAGAAACAGTCCTTGGGGCCAGCAGATGCTGTAATGGTTACATTGCTGGACTCCCACATAGTTGACTGAAGTTTGAGTCCCAGACCTGGTGGCTTAAAACTCACAGTGGGAACATGTGTCCATGCTCAAAATCCTGAAAAGAGAAGTGGCCACTCCCCTGCCTCCCTGGGGGAGGGTTGTTTCTTGCTTGCTTTCTGTCTCTCCAGCCAGGGCATGTGCCCTATAGCAAAAATCCCTCTTAAAAAAAGAAGAAAGAAAGAAAGAAAGAAAGAAAGAAATGGAGAAAGGGAGAAAGGAAGGAAGGAAAGAAGGAAGAAAGAAAGAAAAACAGTCCTCAGTTGTTAAGGTTTGAGGGGGGCCAATATAGCACTGTCGCTGTCCATGACAGGAACTAATTAAGAGAAATAAAGGCATAAGCCAGTAGAGGTTAAAATACTGCTTTTATGATCAATGAAGCTGAACCTGGAGAATATAGTTTATAGCTGTGGGCAAGTGGGTTTCTACTAATGAGCCCTAGCATCAGATGGATTTACCCACCTGTCACAGGGAGTGTCGGAGAACTGCTGGCTTCTCCTCTCTCCAGTCCCCACCTCCACCCACTACCCCTTAACATTTATGGAAGGAAGAGCCGAGCACAGAAGGGATGAAGGTACCTGCGTCCAGTGCTTGTCTCCCAAATTACCAACTCGGGGAAAAGGCTCAGAACATGACATGGAAAGCTATCCGTTCAGAGGGAAACTGATCAGGGAAACGGAGGTTCCCTGCCTCAGCAAGCCCCCTCTCCCTCTGCTCAAGGTGACTTCCTACGCAATGCATACTGACCTAATGCATTTCTGGTAGAAGTTGTATATTTAGCTGCTGAAAGGGGGATGATCAGAGTAGTATGTGTTTAATCAGGTAACATTTCTGGAAGGAGGTGATAGACATTAGAGAGAAGCACAATTTAAACAGATTGACCTGTTGTAATAGGGGGAGAGTTCAAGATGAGCTTAAACTGTGGAAAAATGAAAAAGGCCTTCCAATGTGACTAGTTATGATGGCTATGGCGATCTTGGAGATGTGGGTTGCCATCACCAACCCCAGTGTTCTGCATGGAATGTGCAGATTAGCTGGCAGGGTGCCGGCTGGAGCAAGTTCCCAGGAAGCAGGGCAGCTGGAGCAGTGTAGTGGATGGCCCAAGGCTGCGGCTGTGAAGGGGATGGTCCTGGGCTTCTAGAAAAAATCCCGGCTCCTGGTATTAGACATCACGAGAGAACTGTTCTCATCTGATTGATCACTAGCTTGGTAAATTGGGAATGTTTTCTGGTTTACCATCTGAAACAATGGCTTACAGTTTTCTTTAGAACAAAAATCAAGTGGTTTTTTGATTTGTTTGCTTCTTGTCTTACCAGCAAGGAAACAACCGAGAGTCGTGGAGTTGTGGGCTCAATTACTATGACGGTGTCTTTTGAGTTTTCTGTTGCTTAATTGGAAGTGGCTTAAAAATCCTGCAGATCCTTTGGAAAGGATCAGGAGGAACAATAGCACAGACATAAAGACAGTGGATAATGCAAAGGTCATGTGTTTTATTTTGCAATGCTATGTGTGATTCTTGTATGGTGAATTTTTTTTTCACACATTTTCTTAGGGTGACATTATAAACTGTTTTCTCAGAGCACCTGGAAACTGTCACCTGACAGTTATGCAAATTATGCAATGAAAAGAAGAATAACATTTTCTGTGGATGAATACATAAATAATCAATATTTAAATAAAATATATTTTCATTTGATCTATTTGTTGCTTGTTTGTAATTTTAGGGTTATTCATACTCATATTTGAGTAGGCGGTGTAGCAAGACCTGTAAGTTAGCTATTGTCAAGTTAGATTGGGTGATCCTAATATTAATCAGAGATGCCTGTCTGCTCTCGTCCATGTAGGGTACAAAGTTTAATGTGGTTTCAGGCATCGGGACCTGAGTGACCCCTTGGGAATCTATTTTCATCTCCAAGATTCAGTTGAGTTGTTCTGTGCTTTATCGCAGAAAATAGAATATGTAAAATGCTGAGTACAACACCTGGTGTGTAGGAAGTTCCCTAATACTTAATAATATGGGGCAATAGTTACTGTGTTTGAACTTGAAAATGGTTATAAAATAGCATATAAAATATTATCTCAGCTATGCAAAATTTGCCGAGTAGGTATTAAGTTCTTCTTACATGCCAGATGTTGTTTTGAGAACTGGATGTGAGAACTAGGTTAGGGAGGACTTCCTATTGCTTTCTGTCTCTATCACAGACTTGGGACTAGTCTGATGCTTTTTGCTCTGATGTCCTCCATGGATAGAAAATGTTTAGTTTCCCTAATTACTTTTGGGAAGGCAGAGGCTGATGGCAGATATTTGGCCCCAGAAACCTGACTGGGTGCCCTTGATGAGAAGTCAGCCCGATGAGACCTGCCTACCTCCTGTGGGTGAGCACAGTGTTTAGGAAGGGTGCCTTTATTCCCCCGACTTGAGCTCTGGGTCAAAGACAAGAGCTGAAGCACATTCATGGAGCATCCTAAGACATTAATCTCATCACAGCCCAAACCTACTTTAAATCCTTTCTTTTGGAGAGCCCTTCCTTGGGGAATCATGGTGATGATCCTTTCCCTCTTCAATGTCTTGTTATTTGTCATTGTTTTTTTTTTTTAATGTAGGGATAGTGACTTAGAAATGTGCTTTCTGGACCATGCTTGATGAAGCATGTAAGCCACATTGATGGATTCCCAAACTAGATTTGGATAGTGGGGTCCTTAAGCAATGGATGGAGTTTATAATTTGAGTTTGCATTGTCTGCTGGCTCTGGCTGGCAGGACCCATCTTGGCTCCTACTTTTTACTGTCCACTATGTGGTCTAAGGTAAGTCTTTAAGTCTCTACTTACTGTACCTGTTTCTCCCATAATAAGAAACAGGTGGGATTTTCCAACCCATTTTCCTAAATATTTTACAAGGCTTAAAGATCTGCAGTTACTCAAATATTTGAACATAAGAAAACTCCCACTGGGTAGTTAATGGTGAAAACTTTTATTCCATCAGAAAAATTAATGATGTGAGACCGTAGCACCTAAAGAAATGAGATGATTTAAAAAATGAATTAATATTTGTGCCTATTCATCTCCAAGTCTTTGCTTCCATAGCCCCTCAAATGAGAATGCAAATTACTGACCAACCTTTTGATATTCCTTTCAGGGACACCTGTGTGGTTCTTTGTGAAAATTGCTCCAATTCGAAACGAACAGGATAAAGTGGTTTTATTTCTTTGCACTTTCAGTGACATAACAGCTTTCAAACAGCCAATTGAGGATGATTCATGTAAAGGTTTGTAATTCTGATTTGTACAAATACATTTATGCCTTTTTTGCCTTTCGTGTGTGGCTTTCACTACAGAGAATTTGGTTGCCAAGGCAATCTCTGTGTAAAGATCAAGATTTAAAGATTGTTTTGGGTAAAGTATTGTGTCATTCTAGACTGTATTGGGGGAGAAGAAGGAGAGGAAAAAAAACACTGTTTAAGAAAGCATTTGAATCAGTTTCATACATTTTTAGGTGAACAATAATGGAACAATAATGGTTAGACAAGAAGAAGATAGTTGGGCAACGCTGGTATCATCAGAATCTCTTTAGATGATTTTTTTTAATTGTCAGAGAGTGTCTGTGCTCACCACAGAGAAACCAAGAGTCAGAGAGAGGAAGGGAGAGGGAGAGGGAGAGGGAGAGGGAGAAAACACCCTCCTGCACGGGTCTTGCTCATGCTGCAACCCCGTCTTCTCTATTTTCCATCCTGTTGGCATTTTGTGGGGGTGGCAAGGATGCATGCATACAACATGTTTTTTAAGCGGCTGGAAAAAACCCCATGCGGGATTCAGCTCCCTTATTCACTAGGACACAGGACTAACACTTCTTAGATTTTCAAAAAAGAATTATTTATTTAATTTTATTTATTCATTCATTTATTGTCATTGGACCAGAGAAAGACAGAAACATGGAGAGAAGGAAAGTGAGAAAGCAAGCTGCAGGTCCAGGACTCTAACCATGGTCGGCCCTGTGGGAGTATCCATTGCCTTAACCACCCCCAGAGGGGATGGCCACGCCGCAATCCCTTCTCCTCCATTCTCCTCTCGGGATCTTGGGCACACACACAAACGCCCGGCTTGAGTTTAAGCCACTGGGTCCAGGACTCGAACCGCGGTCGACTACATGGGAGTCCAGCGACATAGCCATTATGCTAACTGCTGGTCCCACTTTTTAGATTTTTATATGACAAATGTCAGTCACCCAAATGGGGCAGTCTGTGACCACATTATTGTGATTATATTGCATTATCGTGATGATAAACAAATTTCACATTATTGTGATTATATTGCATTATCGTGATTATATTTTGTGATGATAAACAAATTTTCTTAGATTGGACTGAGCACTTCTGGAGGCTTAGAGCACATCTTTATCTCTATGGTTGATTGAATTAAGTTTGTGCCTGGTTACTTCTTTTGGAATGTGTGACATTGATGAGGCCAGTGTGTTGAGTAACATTGTCTTCTGGGCCATTTAATCTGCTCTGTAAGCACAGATTTTAGTGCTCACTTCAGCCATATCCTGTGCATGTGTTTTCTGAATAACATCAGGACCTAGGAGAGGAGATGACTCAGGATGTTTGATGCAACTCCCCCGGAAGAGATCCAGCTTACCAGGATATACAGAAAATGGCTTGTTAGCCCAGAGTTTTGGAACCAGAGCGCGTCACAACACTATCTTCATAGTCCTCTTCCACAGCGTTCACTCAAGATGGCCAAGAGCCTAGGGGCTATTTCATGTTGCAGTGGTCCCTGGCTCTTGCTGATTTTCGATTTCTGTCTGAGAACTCTGTTCCTTGTGGTTTCCTGAGATGCAGCAGAGAGATGAGTAAGGAGTCCAGGGGGAGACTCAAATGGCCACAGTATTCTTGATGTGACAAAATTTTGATTGCTAAGTGAGTATTATAGGAGGAAATAAAAGGCATTATGTGGATGCTCTCTCAGGGCCTATGTCCTCTGAGGGTACCTAAAATCCCGGTACATTTAGACTCTCACATTTATGGAGCTCAGACCGCAGTTCCATGTATACCAGTACATCTTATTTTTCTCTAACTGTCTGATAGCTCAATAAATCAATTTTAGCCTGCATTTTTGGTTCTAAAGCTGCAACAAATGTAGTCTCTCAACCAGTGTCTCTGTGTCCTAAAGTCTCATTCTTCTAGATTTATTGGGTTGTTGGAAAAGTCATGACATATTTTTCAATTTTCGATTTCTGTCTGAGAACTCTGTTCCTTGTGGTTTCCTGAGATGCAGCAGAGAGATGAGTAAGGAGTCCAGGGGGAGACTCAAATGGCCACAGTATTCTTGATGTGACAAAATTTTGATTGCTAAGTGAGTATTATAGGAGGAAATAAAAGGCATTATGTGGATGCTCTCTCAGGGCCTATGTCCTCTGAGGGTACCTAAAATCCCGGTACATTTAGACTCTCACATTTATGGAGCTCAGACCGCAGTTCCATGTATACCAGTACATCTTATTTTTCTCTAACTGTCTGATAGCTCAATAAATCAATTTTAGCCTGCATTTTTGGTTCTAAAGCTGCAACAAATGTAGTCTCTCAACCAGTGTCTCTGTGTCCTAAAGTCTCATTCTTCTAGATTTATTGGGTTGTTGGAAAAGTCATGACATATTTTTCAATGCAAAAATGCGTCATGACTTTCCTGACAACTCAATGTAGTTACTGAGATTCTGGTTTCTGATTTGAGGATTTCTCAGTGCCATAAGTATTGTGTAGCAATTGACTCACTCATGATTAAGTGTCATCTTCTTACCTCGTAGAAAGGCTGCTTACCTTTTTAACCAGATAAACTCATGAATAACATGTTAAAAGCAATGGGATATTTTTGACATTTACTTTGGAAAGCTTGTTCTTAAAAATTTAAGGTACATGATTCGTTGAGTCTAGATGTTATTGTTATTATTTTTTTTTCCATCACCAATGGAGCACTCTTAGGTGACATGCCGTATTATTTAGTAGGAAAGGGACACCTAACAAAGAATACTCCTTACCTACATGTCTGCGCAAAACCTTTGAAAGGAGAGATAAAGCAAAGTAGTGAGACTCATCTATGTTTAGATTTTTTTTAGGAATAATTTAATCTGCCTCAATGATGCATTTCCTTGCTAATAAGAGGTTTTTTTTTTTTTTTTAAATAAGAGTTTTAATATGCACAGACACTCACAAACTCATGGGCACACACATACACATTTACCCTATTCCTTATTAGCCAAGAGAAACAGATATTAATTCTTGTTGTTAGAGAAATAAATAGGAGTAACCCGTGGTTTGATCTGTAACACACACACACACACACACACACACACTTTAGCCCTTAATAAAGTAATCCTGTAGTGGATCATGCCTAATGTGTCCTCAAAGATATGACTTTATAAGCCTGTCCATGTCAAATGCCATGGCAGATAAATTCAGACCCTCCCACTTGTCATGTCACTGTGCCCCTGGCCCACTTTGGTTTGGTGGTCTGCTTTGGATGGGGTCAAATTTCATTAGTCTGTTGATGATGGAAGAGCATGATAATTCACCAGGGTTTGTTGGTCAAAAGTCTATAAACTTCAGTTCAGGCTACAGGGATCAAATCTAACTGGAAAATACACTGCCCATGTGGCTGGTTTGTTCTCCTGACTTGCCATTTATTCTTGGAAGTGCTCTCAGCATTTGTTTCCAGCAGACCCAGCTGGGTTTTCAGTACAGCACCCCAGTCAGCACTAAGAGTCTTAGAAGTCTTGCTGACCCAGGCTTGTTTAGAATTCGCTTTTGAAATGGAATGGAAGGGTGAATAATGTGAAACCCTAGAAAATTCCCAGATAATTGCTCCTAGGAATAGCCATTGAGAATGTTTCCCCACCCTTTGATTAGTCCTTCAGGTCAGTTGTACTCAAATTGTCTTTAGCATTACTTGGTTTTCTCTGACATGTAGTGCCTGACTTTGGGCATGGGGTTGGGGTGGGTGCCTTTTGATAGTTAAGCGTGAAGCCAGCTCTTGCCTCACATTTTCCCACAGACTACTCACAAAGGGGTAAACACATGAGAACTTGACAGTAGACTCAACATCTGACACAAAGTAACTCCCTTTTGACCCAGAACCTCAGGTTTAGTTTGAGCCTGGGGTTGCTTCCCAAGCCCCCTCTTCATTTGCAGCATCAGTACTCATGATCCTTTCAGTGAGCTATGCTGGACTGACTTCCTTATCCTTACTTAACTGTATGCCTTTGAATTAGTTCCCCTACTCTGACGAATAGCGCCCTCAGATGGCATGGGGTAGAGAATGGAAGTCAAGCTAGGTTTGCTGTTTGGAATGTGTGTGTGTGTGTGTGTGTGTGTGTGTGTGTGTGTGTGTGTGTAAAAGCTGAATGAGTGAGTATATGGGAAATCTTGACTGTATTTTCTTTGTGGAAAATGATCATCTGGCTTCTCTTGAATGAGATCATCTTGAGCTGGCTTCTCATTGGTTATCTCCTCCTCACAGGCCTTTCGGACAATAGGAGACTTACTTTTTCTCATGCTCTGCTATAAGGGACATCATAGGTTTGATTTGTATGTATTATCTTCCAACAAACCTGATCGCTTCTCTTCCTATGGTTTCAGTCTCAATGAATGGCTGTCACTCCAATCATTGAAACTGGGACTTCAGGGATTGCCTCTTCCTCTACAGCTATTGTTCACAGGCTCCTGTTGATTCTGCTTCTGTAGTTAACTTTCAAGTGTTCCCCTGCTCCTGGCTAGGCCACAGCACTTGTCCAGGTTGACATGGTCTTTTTCCTGGGTTCTGACTCTTCCTGTCAACCTCTTTTACTCCACCATCCACACTAATGTGCATTTCTTATAAAATACAACTTAGCAAACATCTCACTCCTCACCATATTTAAATTCCCTTGGTAATTCCTCAGGGCTTCTGGATGTAGTTAGACTTTCTCAAGTTACTATCTAAATTCTACTGTCTAAATTTTTCCCAATCTGGCCCCTGACAGTCTCTTTAGTCTCACTTCAGGCTACTCTCTACATCCTCGTCACACTCTAAGCCACGCCTCATCATCCAGCCATTTAGAACGTCCTGCTCTTTACTGACACATTACCCTTCTTGGTCTTCTGTCTTTGTAGGTGCCGTTCCTTCATGTGGGCTGTCCTTTCATTCCTTCCTGAGTACATCTAATTCCTACTAAACTTGCAATATTTTTCTCTAGTACCTAGTACTGTGTCTGATACAAGTTCATAGAATGGATGAATGAATGAATCTGTTCTTTCTCCTGGCTAGACATAAGAGCTATTATCAAGTATTCCTTTTCCAGAAAGGAAAACATAGGGTGGGCACATGGGAGAGAACTTATTTCTTTCCTCCAGAAAAGGCAGAATCTGCCTATCCTGGGTAGAGGGTAATGGAGAAATTTCACACTGCCCATCCATTTCTAATCCAGCCACTCACCTCTTCATGGCCTCTGCTCAGCCAGCTGAAAGTTAACTGCTAGAAAAGCTACATTCTTGGAAAGAATCATGGCTAAGCCAGAGAGAGAGAGAGAGACAGACAGACAGACAGACTACCCTGTATCCAGGAAAATGCCCAGAGGTCCAGGGATCTTTCTTTTCATTCTTTTATACTGTATCAGCTGATGGACCAGGACTCTGAGCTCTCTGCTAGGTGAGATCTGGGGCGCCTGCCTCACCATTGCTCCCATAGTGTGGGTCGTGGTGGTGATGATGGTGGTGCGGAGCCCTTGCTGCTGTCTGCATGCACAGCTGTTTCCTACCTGGCTGAAATGTATATACTCTGCTCCTCTTTAAAGCTTTGCAGAATTCAATTCCAGTTTTGTTTTGAGCTGAAGGAGAATCTAGCACTGAAGGAGACTTAAAGAAATTCTAGTCAGCAGTTCCCACCTGCACATGCTAGTGAGCACATTTGTAAATGGTGCATTTGGGGGAGATGTCAAATAGCCCTGCAGAGTCTGGGCTGTTCCCTCCTATGAGCATTAATGGGATGCCCACAGCTAAACCCGCTATGTGCCTCTTTTGAAGGCAACCCCACCAATTCTACAACTCTGCTTCATGGCATCAGTAGAATTGAAAGTACCACTAACTTTTATCAAAGCCCAACACTTTTGAAATGATATATAAAAAGACTGATTTGCTGTTCTTTCTGTGTTGACAAAAATGTATCCAAAAGACAATTCTTAAAGGTTGTGCGACAAAAGTTTCATTCTTCTGCTGAACTCCATTATCTAAAGTCTGTCTTGGAAAGGTGTTCCAGGGGAAAATTTGGCAGCTGAGATTTCTGCTGGAAAGCGCTCAATACTTCTAAACTCTAAAGGCTAAAAAATGAAATTGCCTAATCCTGCTTTTACCTGTCATGTAACAGTAGCTACATGCTCTATTTATTTGTCCAGTTCTTTGGCGCCCTTGAAACTCGGGCCTGACAGGCTTTCAGGGAACTCCTGGGGAAATTGCCATGCACATAACCTTGATGCAGATGGGTCATTGGATGTTGGAATGGATGATTGCCTTTGGGGGCATTTCAAAGCAGTCAAGATTATTCATACATCTTAGATTCTCAGTAAAGATCACTCTTAGATCCTCTTAGATTCTAGGGTATGAAGAAGGATAGGTAGAAAAACAAGCTAGTGTTTTACTTTTTCTGAAGATATTAGTTCAGAGGGCCAAGAAGACTTCAAAACAGCCTCTGTTTTAGCCCACTAAACAGAACCCTTTAAACTGAGACACTATGTTACTAGGCAGGTAGAATATTTTAATTTCCACTGTACAGATGAGAGAGTTGAACTCTAGACAACTTGAACAACTTATTAGTGGAGATCACAAAGTAAGCTGGAGCCAAAATAGGACTCCTATCCCGATTATTATTATTATTTTTAAACTTCAAGTTCAGTCTCTAGTCCTTTGAGATATTTATTTTAGGAAGGCCTGTCACCAACTATCCCAGAGCAGACTACAGTCCACCAGTGCTTTTCCCTATCTATCTGGATGTTGAATTAATTTCTTATTTTCCTGGCCTTGGAGAAGTTAGTGCATGAAATGGCCCTTTGACTGACTCACCCATTTAAAATCCAGAATCAGCTCAGTTCTGTAAGAGCAGAAAGTATAGGGATTGGGAAGCCTGAGCCAAGTCACTAAGGCAGAGGAACAGCTTAAATGCATGATTTTGGGCCAGAGTGGAATGATCCAGATTCTAAATTCTTTCCAGTTGTCCAGGTGCTCTGGGCCTCAGTTTCTTGTTTGTAAAGTGGTACTAAAACCTGCCCAATGTAGTTCACCAAGTTATGCTTAGGAAGAAATGAAAGCGCATGGGAAAAATAAATTGCTACACAAATTTGAGTGTGTCAATGTGCTTTTCTGAACAGTGGGTCTTGCTTGTGGGGGAAGAGTGACTGGTTGCAGAGTGCTTCATGTGAGCCCAGGAGGACAATGGGGGTATCTGTTTCTAATAGCATTACCGGTGATGTGCGTGTGCCTGCTGCTTCGGGACATGGCTGACCCTGTCTTTTCATTCTTCCACATGCTTCAGGCTGGGGGAAGTTTGCTCGGCTGACCAGAGCACTGACAAGCAGCAGGGGCGTCCTGCAGCAGCTGGCGCCCAGTGTGCAAAAAGGCGAGAACGTCCACAAGCACTCCCGCCTGGCAGAGGTAAAGACAGCTTAGCTTATCGTAAGCTTTACTTCTAGGGGTGCATGAACTGAGGACATGGCACAAAGCTAGTGTGCTGGCTTGGAGGGCACCTTCAGTACACTTAGTCTCTAATCTTGGCTGGAATACCCACTTCGATGATGCTGGGTAAGTGACCTAACTCCTCTGAGTCTCATACTTCCTCATATGTAAGAGCAGGCTGTAACAGCTCTGCTCCAACTTTCTTGATATTTTAGGTGTCAATTCACTTTTCTGAGTGGGTAGGAAAGGGGCTAGGAGGGCCTTATATACATGGAAGGGTTTCTACTTATAAGTCACAACCAATTTTATTTAAGCTATTCATGCTATTATGGGAAAAGAAGATACAGAAAGCAAAAAGAAGAAAATGAAAATGGCCTGTAATTCCACTAATCACAGAGCGTTGTAATATTTCATGTGCGCATTAACTCTTATATTTCTTAGATTAGAGATTCATTTTTTTCTATGTTAATGTTTATGAAGTTGACATGCATTTAAGAATCAATGTGTGGGAACCAGCAGGTGGCGTAGTGGTTAAGGAGCTGGATGCTTCCACGTGGCTGCAGTTTGAGTCTCGAAACTGGTGGCTTGCTTTCTCATTTTTTTCCCCTCTCTCTCTCTGGTCAAATTAAAATACATGAATGAATAAATAATTCTTAAAAAAAAAAAAGAATCAATGTGTCGGGACCAGCAGTTGCCATAGTGGCTATGTCACTGGACTCCCATGTAGTCAACCGTGGTTCAAGTCCTGGACCCGGTGGCTTAAACTCATGCTGGGAGCATGTGCGTACCCAAGATCCCGAGAGGAGAATGAAGAAGAAGGGATTGCAGCGTGGCCATCCCCCCTGAGGGAGTGATTTCTCACTTTCTGTCTCTCTGTCTTTCTGGTGAGTGCATGTGCCCTATAGCAAAAACCTCTCCAAAACAAAACAAAACAAAACAAAACAAAACAAAACAATGTGTATGATTAATGTGGTTGTGTTGCCTTTTCTTCACTTTATATTAATATATAATCATGAACATCTTTCCAGATTAACAAATGTACTTAAAATGATTGTTTTGATACCTTTGCAAAGAAAATTGGTGGTGATGGTCTCCCTTTTGCTGGGATAAGTCAGAGCCTGGGAAGCCTCAGCAAAAGGTTTTATCAGACTCAATAGACCCAAATCACTATTATCTGCCTTTGGCAGCGCCTAGTCATTTTTCCAGTGTGACCTGGCTGGGATCAGTTAGGGCATCAGCATGACGTTCTCCATGCAGTAAACTGCCAGCTCACCCAACATAAGCTATCCCTCTGCCTGCAGTGGCCAGTCAGGTTTTGCTTCGTGCTCAGGTGGCGGGATCCTTTCTGACCTGACTTCTGGCTCCAAATTCCTGAGAGAGAGAAACTCCTGAGAGAGAGAGAAACTCCCGGCGTGTGAGAGCTCATAGGGGGTGCTCTCAGTATGTAGACTGGGTGTCAGATGAATTAAAACGACAGAGCTTCTAGTAGCAACAGAAACTTTTGCCAGCATTCATTTGTATCAGTTTTGAGAAGGAGAGACACTTGGGTGATGGCAGCGTCATTTTTTGTCATGATGTAGGCTTGACGTATGGAAAGGGTGGTAAAGGAGTTCTTTCAGCTCACGGCCTGCACGTGTTCCCATTCTCCTCCTCTCCCCCTCGCTCACGCTGAGCTGACTGCACTGGCCTCCTCGCTGTTCGTGAATACTCTGGGCTTGCTGCTTCATAGATATTTGTGTGGCAACTCCTTCATTGCAAGTTTTTGCCCAATGTCATTTTCTCTGTGTCTGTCAGAGTTCTACCAGAGAAACGAAGCTAGTAGATTATTTACATATTAATAATTTTATTGCTAGAAATTGGCTTATGTGATTGTGACAACAGGCTATGCAAGTCCAAAATTTATAGTACGGGTTGACTGGAAAGCCTTGGGGGGAACTGAAGTCTACAGGTCAGTTCCTTGTTCTGCAGGAAAACTTCAGTTCTGCAATTTTTTTTTTTTTTTGAGGTAAGGGAGGAGAGGAGGTTTTTGCTATAGGGCGCGTGCACTCGCCAGAAAGACAGAGAGAGACAGAGAGACAGAAAGTGAGAAATCACCCCCCAGGGGGTGGCCATGCTGCAGTCCCTTCTCCTCCATTCTCCTCTTCAGATTCTGGGCACATACGCACATGTGCCTGGCATGAGTTCAAGCCACCAGGTCCAGGACTCGAACCGTGGTCGACTATATGGGAGTCCAGCAACACAGCCATTATACTAACTGATGGTACCCTCAGTGCTACTTTTAAGGCTATTCAACTAACTGAGCGAAGCCCTCTCTGATTACAGAGGATAATAGTTTTTTGTGAAAGTGAAGTGATTACAGATGTTAATCACATCTACAAAATACTTTCACAGAAACACTTGGCTTAGTGTTTGCTCCAGTCCCCGGGTACCAGAGCCCAGCCAGTTTGACTCACACACCTGACACACTTTTGCATAGAAGAGCATAGAAAAATACGCCATGACTTTTCTGATGACACTCTAGTACCTCTAGCCAACCTGGCACTCATACACATACCTTTAAGCCATACCTAGTCTCCAAATAAAGGCAGTAATAAAGCCATACTCCTACTCAACACGATTATCCTATGCACAATGGAAAACATGAGTACCCTTCCATAGAAGAGAATGGAAAGTCCTTTTTCGTATCCTGTAACTTAAATACTGTGATATTAGCTGTTATTAACACATTCTGTATTACATGATAAGGGGATGAAAGAGGAGAAGATAAAAATATTTTCTGTGTATATGCATATATATATATATATATGCTTTTATTTATATGTATTCGTCCCAACATAGGGAGAAATGCAGCTAACCCTCTATATAACCTCTTTTTCCACTAAGTACTTTGTAATGTACTATATAGTTTACTTATTTATCATGCATGTTGTTAACTGATATATTTCAAGCACTTAGAATACAGTCTGGCACATAGTAGGTGCTCAGTACTATGTTTTTAATTGATTAAGTGAAAAAGAATTTTGTTTTTAGCGTTCTTATCTTCCTGTCCAGCATAAGTAGTTGTTCGTAGGTTGTCAATATGAGACAAACCTCTGAGTCTCCTTCCAGGGCCTGGAGTTTTAGTTAGCCTGATGATAGATTTATTGATTTTATTGATCTTTTCAAAGAATCAGTTTTTGGTTTTATTGATTTTCTCTATTGATTTCCTATGTTCATTTATATGCTTTCTGCTCTAATTACTATTATTTTTTAAAGTTTGTTTATTTATTGAGAGAGAGAAGGATACCTTTGAGAGGGTTTCAAAGTACAGGTGTGACCTCATTGGCCAGGACCCCAACTCAGGACTCCCATGTGGCTCCAGTATCATGTAGCTGCGCCCTACAGCCTGTGCCACTGTGGCTGGGCCTCTTATTTCTTTGCTTCTGCTTACTTTAGATTGAATTTGCTCTTCTTTTTCTAGTTTCCTAAAATAGAAGTTTACATGATTGATTTTTAGTCTTTTTTCTTTTCTTTTCTTTTTTCTTTTCTTTTCTTTGGAGAGATTTTTGCTATAGGGTGTATGCACTCGCCAGAAAGACAGAGAGAGACAGAAAGTGAGAAATCACCCCCCAGGAGAGATGGCCATGCCGCAATCCCTTCTCCTCCATTCTCCTCTCGGGATCTTGGGCACGCACATACATGCGCCTGGCGTGAGTTTAAGCCACCGGGTCCAGGACTTGAACCACACTCGAAGACATGGGAATCCAGCAACATAGCCATTATGCTAACTGCTGGTCCCTGGTCTTTCTTCTTTTCTAATAGATGCAGTGAATGCTAGAAATTTCTGTCTGTGCGCTGCCATTGCTGCTTCCAAAATTTTGATGTTAGACTTTCTTTTTCACTTAGTTGAAAAAAAATTATTAAATTTCTCTTGAGATTTGGGGCTAGCAGGTGGTGTGGTGGTTAAAGGTGCTGGATTCTCACATGGCCGACCATGGTTTAAGTCCCAGATCTGGCAGCTTGCTTTCTCCCTTTCCCTTTCTCTCTCTCTTTCTGGTCAAATTAAAAAAAATAATAACAAATGGAATTAAATAATTCTTAATTAAAAAATTTATCTTGAGAAATAAAGTTTCTCTTTTTATTTTTGATTCGTGTATTATTTAGAAGTATGTTGTTTAACCTCCAAGTATTTGAGGATTTTCCAGCTATTTTCTCTTATTCTAGTTTAATTCTCTTGTGGTCTGAAAACAAACATTGTATGATTTTTATTCTTTTGTTAAGATATATTGTATGGCCCATAATATGGTGTATCTTGGGAAATATTCCATGTGAGCCGGAGAAAAATGTGTTTTCTGCTGTTGGACGAAGCGGTCTACAGATGCCGATTATATCTTGTTGACTGATGGTTGTTTTGAGTTCAACTATGTTCTCATCAATTTTCTCTGGGTCTATCTGTTTCTTTCTTTCTTTCTTTCTTTTTTTTTTTTTTGGGAGAGGTTTTCCTTATAGGGGTGGTGCAT